TTCCACTCTTGTTGCAGCAGCTGCTGCTGCTGCTCGTGCTGCTAGTTGCGTTGCTGCTGCTGCTGCTGCTCGTAGTGTTCCTGTTGCCGCTGCTGCTACTCGTTAGAAAGGAGATTAAAGGAACTTCTTGGGCCTCCTTTCTTCTCCTTTCTTTCTTCCTTGCCAGCCTCCCCTTTCCAGGGCTTCTATGTGCTGCAGCACTTGTTGCTGTACTTGCTGCTGCACTTGGTGCTGCGCTTGGTGCTGCACTTGCTGCTGCGCTCGTTGCTGCACTTGGTGCTGAACTTGCTGTTTTGCTTTCTGCTGCTTCTGCATCTGTGGGTGTCCCCTGAGCGCCTTGGCCGCTGCTGCTGCTGCTGCTGCTGCTGCTGCAACTGCAGCAGCTGGTGCTTCCAAATTTGCGGCCGTCACACAAGACAAGCAGGCCGCTGCTGCAGCCATTTTTTCTGAGGAGGCGGCGGCAGACCTCCATTCTCTGAGGGCTGATATCCACGCCTACCACAGCCCCGTTTGCTGCTGCTGCTGCTGCTGCTACTGCTACTGATGCTTCGGGCGCTGTAGCTGCTGCAAGCGTCCGTGCTGCTGGCACTGCTGCTGCTGCTGCTGCGCGCGGAGGGCTCGGCGAAACTGCTGCAGCCAGCAGCAGCATTTTGTTGCCAGGGGCGCAGCAAAGGTCAAGGCACTTGCTGCCAGGCGCGGGGCGAAGAGCAGCAGCAGCAGCAGCAGAAGCAGCATCGAAAGGGTGCAGCAGCTGCTGTCTGTACACCCGAGACGCAGGAAACTTGGTGTCTGGAGGCAGCGAAAACAGGGCCGGAAAGTAGCAGGGCGACTCCAGCCAGCAGCTGCAGCAGCTGCTGCAGCGATTGCTGCTGCTGCTGCTGCTGCTGCTGCACAGCTGCCGCGCAGGCGCTCCCAGCAAACTACTCGGCAGCCAGTGCTGCAGGACGGCGGGCTCCTGCAGCTGCAAGTCCTGCTGCAGCAGCCACAGCACGCGCTGTACGTACTGCGCATACGCTTTGGCGTACGAGCAACTTGCTGCGCTGGCGCTGCTGCAGCAAGACCTGCTGCTGCTGCAGTCATCTCCAGCAGCAGCAGCAGCAGCAGGGTCTTGAAGGTGAATGGGGCAAGTCTGGGGAGAGAAACGAGAACAAAACGAAGCAGGGCGGAGGCTCTCTACATAGTTAAGAGTGCATGCAATGCACATCTCTTCGCTGCTGCTGCTGCTGCTGCTGCTGCCGCTTTCTCTGCTTGGGAGGGAGGTGGCGCCGTCATCAGCGCCACTGCAGCAGCTGCTGCTGCTGCTCCTGCTGCTGCTGCTGCAGGTGCATGTGGATGCCGCTTGCTGCTGAGCAAGGGAGCCTTGGCCCCTGCGGTTAAGGGGGGGCGGAGGGAAAAAGCAGCAAAAGTAACGGGGCACTTGCTGCTGCTGCTGCTGCTGCTCCTGCTGCTCGAGCAGCTGCTGCAGTGCTGGGCTATCCCTCTGTTTCTCCAAGACACCTAAAAGAGGCGCTGGAATGTTTTTGCATTGTCTCTCCATTTGGATCTGCGCAGACTCCAAACTGCTGCTGCTACTGCTGCTGCTGCGGCTGTTGCTGCTGCTCCTGCTGCTGCAGCTGTTGCTGCTGCTGCTGCTGCCGCTGTTGCTGCTGCTGCTGCGGCTGTTGCTGCTGCTGTCTCTATTGTCTTTCGTCACGCAGTAGCAGTGCACAGGATGAATTTCTTGCACCTCTCACAGCCGCAGCAGATCCTCTATGGCGGCAGCTCATATTGCTGCTGGTGTTGCTGCTGCTGCTGCCTTTCGCGTTGCAGCCTTAGGTGCCCAGATGCTTGGTGCTGCTGCTGCAGCACCTAAACCCTCTGCAGAAGCTGCTGCTGCCCTTATTAACGCTTCAACTCTGCTGTCCCCATGAGCCTCAACAGCAGTAGAGCAGCGCCAACTGCTGCAGCTGTCCCCGCTGCTGCTGCTCCTGCTGCTGCTGCTGCTGCTGGTCCCTGGAGAGAAACAGCGGCTGTTGCTCAAAACACGAGGCAGTTTACGGCACACAAGGGCCCCCCGAAGCAAATAAGGAGAAATGGAGCAGCAAGGGAAAATATTTCAAAGAGATTTCTTGCTGTTCGCAGCAGCTGATCAGGAGCACCAGCTGCTGCTGCTCCTTCTGCTGCTGCGGGCCTGAAAACCTTGCTGCAGGAGATCAGGCGTCCGTAGCAGCAGAATATTTGAAATAAAAAACAAATTTCATGTGCCAGTTAAGATCGCAGCAGCAGCAGCAGAGAGAACGGCTGCTGCTGCTGCAGCCACAATCGCGGTTCACAAGAAACCGTTCGTGGGGCCCCACAGCAGCAGCAAGAGCTAGAACTGCAGCAACACCAGCAACAGCAGCAGCGGCAGCAACTGGAATCTCGACTTTCAGCCTAACAGCAGCAATTCAAGCCAGAGACAAGGGGGGTTTGGGGGCCCCTGTGGTGCAGTGGGGGCCTCTGGCTGGATGCGGGCCCCTCGTGCAGCAGCTGCTCAAACCCTAAACCCTAGCCGCGAAACCCTAAACCCTAAACCCTAGCGGGTTGGGCCGCAGCTCGACGGGCGCACACGGGCCTGCTGCTGCTGCTGCGCCGCGCTGCTGCTGCCCCAGGGCTTGTCTTCCTGCTGCTGGAGAGCAGCAGCAAGCAGCAGACATGAAAGGGAATTGAAGAAGAAGGGGCAGCTGCAGCAGACACGGAAGCAAAAGCCCTCGGAGACGCAGAAGCTGCTGCTGCTTCGCTGCTGTTGCTTCCCGAGAGCCGCCAGCAGCAAAAAGACTAAGAGACACAAAGAGACACAAGAAGCAGCAAAAGGAGGCCCAGCTCTTTTGCTGTGGGGCCCCACAGGCAGCTGCTGGAGCTTGAGGTGTACAGACACCCCATGACTAGGGGGGTCTCACATATGCGCGCAGAGCAGCAGCAGTAGCAGCAGCAGCGGCAGCAGCAGCGGCAAGGGAGCCGCAGCAGCTGGAATCAACAAGCAGCAGCAAGCAACAGCAAAAATGGGACTGCTTTCAGCAGCAGCAGCTGTCTTGTGTCGCTCCAAACGCGCTATGCTGCTGCTGCTGGTCCTGCTGCTTCTGCAGGTGCAAGTAGGGAACGTCAATGAAGTCTCAGCAGCAGCAGCAGCAGCCGCAGAAGCAGCAGCAGCAGCGCCAACAGCAGCAGCAGCATCAGCAGCTGCAGCAGAAGGCCCGGATAGCCGCCTCTGCACTGTGAAGTCGACTGAGGGCTCGCCCTGCAGCTCCGATCCCCGTGAACACCAGCAGCAGGAGCAACAGCAGCAGCAGCAGCAGCAGCAGCAGCCGGAGGCGCCGATAATATCGGATGAGCTGCTGCTGGATCTGCTGCGGCGAGCCGAAGAGATACGAAAGGGGCCCCCAGAGGGGCCCCCCGCTGGCTGGGAGGTTTTGTCCAAAAATGTGAATTGTATAGTCTATAGGAGAAAGCGCCGAGGTGGGGCCCCCTGCTGCTGCTGCTGCTGCTGCTGCTGCTCTTTTAGTCGCCTCATTTCTCTTCATCACTTCTGTATTCCTGGGCCTTCTTTTGATTTCGCCTCCATTTTCTACCATTGCTGCTGCTGCTCCTGCTGCTCTTGCTGCCGCTGTTGTTTTTGCTGTTGTTGTTGCTGCTGCTGCTCGTGCTGCTGCTGCTGCTACTGTTGCTGCTGCTGGCTGCTTGTGTCTCCCTCTGTGTCTTTCAGCTGTCTCCCTGTGTTTTCGCGTTGGGGCCCTCTGTCTCCTCTTGTGCTTGGAGTGCCTTTGTCTCCTTTTTGTTTTTTCGTTTCTTTTTTGTTTTATTTTATTCCATTTTATCTCTTTTTCCTTCTTTTGTCTCTATTTGATTTTCTTCCCCTTTCCCCTTTTGTCTTCCTCCCCTGTAACTGCTTCTCCTCCATGTCTGCTGTTTTTTGTCCCCTGTTGCTGCTGCTGCTGCTGCTGCTGCAAATGCTCCTCTGTGTGTCTACGCATGCTGCTGCTGCTGCTGCTGCTGCAGGCCAATCAGACTACGAGTACGCAGTGTGGGGCCGCTTTGCGGACATTTCTGCTGCTGCTTATCTTTCCACTTTAAATTCGCTGCCCCTCAGGAGCTCTTGGGACTCCACAGTGAAGGACATTCAGCTGCTGCAGCTCAAGCAGACGCCAGCTGCTGCTGCTCCCCCCAGCAGCAGCAGCAGCAGCAGCGGCGGCGAGGGGGAAGAAGTGAACCAGGGGGCCCCTACCGGAGAGGGGGGCCCCCAGAGGGGCCCCCAAGTGTACCCTGTGGGGGGCCCCGAATATGAAGAATTGATTTATTGGCGAGTGGGCCTCCCGTGGCCAGCAAAGGACAGGGACTTTGTGTTTGCCCGCCGGCTGCGCGGCTACAGAATCGCCAGCAGCAGCAGCAGCAGCAGCAGCAGCAGCAGCAGAGTGCATGCGCTCGTCTGCGGGCAGCTGCAGGCCGAGAGCGATGCTGCGCCCCCCGTGAGCGACGCTGTGAGGGTCACCACATTTGAAGCCGCAATCGTGGCCTTTCCAGACAACGAAGAGGCCCCTGAGGGGGCACCCGAGGGGGCCCCCCAGGGGGGCCCTGAGGGGCCCCTGGGGGCCCCTGGGGCCCTCGACGCCGCCAGCCCAGCCGAAGGCCGCGGGGGGTCCCCCCAGGGGGCCCCCCGGGGGGCCCCCGGAGGTGACCCTGAGAAGAAAGGAGTGACCTATGTGGCCCTCCACTATGACAGGTCCAGGTGAGGCCTCTTGCTGAGCTTTTGGGGTTCACCAGGGGGCCCCCAATGGGAAGCCCCCGGGGGGCCCCTGGGGGGCCCCTAGGGGGACCCCCAGGGGCCCCCGGTGGGGGCCCTTTAAGTGGGGCTCCTCCTTTAGGGCTCCGCGGCCCTCCGAGTTTGCATCAGCAGCAGCCACAGCACACCACTAGCAGCACAAACAGCAACACAACCACTAGCAGCAGCGCACCCAGCAGCAGCAGCAGCGGCAGCGCACCCAGCAGCAGCAGCAGCAGCAGCAGCA